TGCCACCTCTATGAGCATCTTCCAGCAACTTGCCACCTGTGCTAAGTTTTTCCCCATCCTGTATGTCCTGAAGAGGGAAGACCACAGGGCCTGGGCAGCTATCACCTTCCTAGAGGGAGAAATGAAGAGTGGGAAGCAGTGCGTTCCCTGCCAGTCCTTTGTGTCTGAGAGATTTGTAAGGCCCAGGATGACCAGGCCAGATGGGGATGCCCGGGACCTCTATAACATTCTTGGCTTCTGCAAAGGTCTGCTGGACTCATCCCCGCCAGGAAGAATGCTCAATCCAAGTAGCATGGTCACTGTCATCACCCATGTCTGTTTGGACAATCCTGGGAATTTCTCATGCCCTTTGCAGCTGGTGCTGGGGATGACAGCAGAAGCCAGTGTGGAAATCAGGAACATCTCAGAGAACACGGGGATCTGTTGGCTTGGTCGTGTCTCTCTTCTTCCTCCTCTTTCAGCACTGCTGGATGGAACTCTGTTTATCTCTCTTGTAAATACCTAATGCTAAAGGCAGATATTGTGTAAATAAGTATTTGTATCTATTTGTGTATAGATATTTACTGTAACCGGCTTCCAGAGACCTTGATGTTTTCTTCCTTATCATCTCGGTTTGAATCTATTAATATATTCTCTATTGGAGAAATATCAAGATTAAACTGACTCAGTGCTTAGTGTTCTTATGGTAAAGCAGCAAGTTTGAGAGGCACTTCCAAGTCCAGGTCCAGCTCAGTGGACCTTAGCTTAGCTCTGCTTTGTGGCATGAGGCTTTTAGTGTTTTATTGTGATGGGACCATGCCTACTATCTAAGGTAGGTCTCTGCCATCTGTAGACACTCAATACAAATAAAGTGACAAGTCATGACTGGGGCGAAGGAATCTATTGCATCTCTGGGTCATGTTTTCACCTTCTATCTTTAGTTGAGTTTTCACTCTTGGCTAGAATTGAGTCAATAGCCCAGGCTACTAGGGTGTCATTTTTTTCCTCCATTAACCAAACATGATAGCAATTGCCAAAAGGATTGGCAGACACAGTTCCAAACATCTGCTCAAATTGTTCAGTTTTGGTTAACATGAAATTGTCTCTTTGTTTTATTTTCTTTTTGGTCACCAGACATTTTGGGGGGTCTTTCCTTAATCTCCTCTTTGCTGTTAGCTTCGGAAAATAACTCTTTTACTGAAATTAGCAAAACTCAGACGTGCATCCTATCAATAATAGATAAAAATTAAAATCCACAACCTCATGCTAAAATGTGTTTGCTTAAGGCTTCAACTTTTCTAATACTTTTAACCTTAAACTATCAATAATTATGTGGTAAAGATCTGTGTTAGAATTAATTTCTTAAAGTACATGACCAGAAGTTGACTTATTGCATTGAAAGGCATATAAATGTATGTACAATACATTGCTATCACATTTATCACATGTATGTGCACATATTGAAGTTGGACCATTAAGTTTGTGAATTCATCCTAGGAAACGTGCTACATGCCCCACTGTTGAGTATCACGACGGTCCCCTTCAAGGTAGTTCCCTTGGGAAGCTATGCACTTACCAGTGCCTAGTCCTTCCTTGAAAGCAATTTTGGATCTCTTTTCTGGAATGGTCATCCGTGCTGTTGGCATACAAGGTCTGACGATTAAATTCACAAACTCATCCTAGAAAAAGTGTTAGAAGAGTGGACTGGGCACTGGCCTCAATGCATAGCTTCCCCAGGGGAGTACTTCAAAGGCGACCATAGGGGCCGTCAGCAAGGAGGCATGTAGCATTTTTTGTAGAATCAATTTGTGACCTTAATTGTCTGACCTTCCATGTATCTATACATATAAATAAAACATTTTGGAGCTATTTTGAAGAAATAATTTATTTATAAAAGGGACATAAACATTCTATATAATATTGTAGCCTACATTTTTCCTCGAATATATTATAACCACTTTCTTACATATTTATTCTTTTAAAGATGATTTTTTAAGAATTACCATCATATGTTGGCATATTATAATTTGCAGTTTTCCTATTTTATATTTCTTCATTTTTTCCTATTACAAATGGTGAAAATAAATTTTTGTGTGTCTTTGATTGTTAGAATAAATGCCTAGAAGTAGAATTATTAAGATAGAGGGTAAGAGTGCATTAAGGCCATAAATAATAAATGATAGTGATACTAGATTCGCCTCCAGAAAAGTAAAAATTCTTATTCCCACGAGTATAAGTTGTACATATGTCACTGAGCTCAATTCAGTGAATTTTTCTGGCCAATTTTATCAGGGAAATTATCCTGGTATTTTTGACTATGAGGGACTAAACTTAATAGCTTAATGACCATGTTAATTGTAATTTTTTCCCATGTTCCTTTTCTTTTAAAACTGGAGTTTTGTGTTTTTCTTATTTCTTCTTAGAATCCGCAACTGCCCCGGGAGCATGTGAGAATGCAAATGTAATTGGACCATAAATCCAGTTGCCTACGTCAGGTAACTGACTGCCCCTGTCTTCTCTGCTTTGTTGACTTCACCCTGTCAGGTGCAATGCTGTATGATTATGAGGGAGCTGATGAAACTGATGGCTTGATAAGGAGGGAAACAGCTCAAAACTCATAGTGGAGCAGAAGAGAATAAGAGAATAAGAATAAATTATTTTAAGAAATGCAAACAGAATTGCCTTTGATGGAAGATAGTTGATGTTTTCACACAGGAAATAATAATCACTCATCACTATGGAAGATCCTGCCTTCTAAAAGCTTGGGGGGTAAGGGTGAGGGGAGGGGAGGGGAAGGCCGGGTGGAGGGAGGGCAATTGGTGACACCTCCTCAGTTGTGCATGGTGCAAGGGTACATGTCGAATCCATTAAGAGCAGAGTATAGATGTCTTAACGCAACTGTTAAGTAAGAGAGATGAAGGCTATGTTAACCAGTTTGATGTAAGCATTCCAAATTATATATAAAAAAAATATATATATATATATATAAATATATATATTTGTATATGAAAATCAGCACACTATACCCCATAAATGCATTAATGTACACAGTTATGATTTAATAAAAAAGATAAAGTTTCATGAGTGTAAAAGGGCAGGTTCTAATTTGCATTTGGGAGGTGCTAGTCTAATAATAAGAAAGAGCTGAGAGCAAGAAAATCCAGGTTTATGTTCACTAATTGTTAACATAGTCCATGTTGTAATTGTATCTCACAGTGGATTTTGGTCCTTTCAAGCCTGGGATCCAGTTTCATTCTTATCCTCACCACTAACAATGGGTCATTTCAAAATGTCATAGCAGCTACAAGCAGATGCAGGCAGGTCATGCTCTGTTTCAGAAAGCAGCAGTGATAGCTGGAACTAAGCACCATAGTTCTGCTAATTTATAAAAATTTTGCTTTTTACATGGCAGAATCACGTTATCTGAGAGAGGCCCTCCCCATTGTATTCTGTGATATTTCCTTTCTTTCCCTTGTAGGTATTTTGTTGTTCTTTTTTCATTTTTTTTTTTTTCCTCTCTTGTAGGTGTTTTGAAACCACAGGTGTTGGGAGGGCCAGCAGCAGATACCAATAATCAGGACATGAGGAAACAATACGAAGAGGTAGGGGCTGCCTTGAAAATGTCATTGCTGTGACTTCACAACACAGTCACAGATGTCTCTCGGATGGTTTGCTGATTGCTGGTTGCCATAAAAAGAATCTCGCTTCATCAGTAGAAGAGCTACTAAGCAGAGAGTGAACATTTTGTTGTTAAACAGTTGGGCTTCACTGGGATTCCTCGGAGGAGGAGCACTGTTGAAATCAGCCCCTGCCCAGTTGAACCAGCAAGGCAAAGTCCTTTCAGGAAACATGTTAGATTACTTATTGTTTCCACTCCTCCTATAAGGTTTTCTCTACTAAAAATAGTCTTTTTGCCTAGGCCCATGGGATTGTGGACAAAAGGTTCCCTACTCAGAGATTGAGTCTTCTCATAGTTTTCTCCACAGATATCTGAGAAGTGATGTATTAATACAAAACCACAGGTAAAACTTTAAGCAGCTCAATGCTTAAATCTTAGAACTTCTATAGAGGCCCAGCTGAGGAAATAACTTAGAAGTTTCTTTATTACCACATGGTTTTCTGATCAGGAAAGCACCCTCTGTTTGATGCCTGAGAGTTTCTCACTAGGCGTGGCTATTACTTGGCGGTAGTAGGAAGGCCGTTTTTTATGAGTCCATTGGTTTCTCTCTTTCATTTTACTCCACCAAGTAGGAAAAACTTACCTTATTTTACAAATGAGGAAGGTGAAATTGGTAAAGTTGAGCCACTTTTCCAAAGACCTATAACTACTAAATAATTTACCAGATCATTTAATTCCAGATTTCTGGCTCCCAAGTAGATCTGGTTTGCTTATAAGCTCACAGAACCACAGAATATATGGTAACTAGGCAGGAAGGAGATGTCTCATTGAAAGGCAACTCGAATGCAGGGGACAGCTTGGGGGCCTCAGAAATAACCCTCACTCTTTTTCTTTCTTATTGCCATGTTGATATGTAAACTTTCACCTTTATGCAGATGCTCTAGGGAAAAAGAAGTCAGTGGTGGAGGAATAAGACAGTTCTGGCAAGAAGTTTCATTTCTGACTTGACAGGATATTTACCCAAGAGGAAACAGCTTTAAGTGGGAAGACACTGAATTATCTTTACTAGACAAATGTTACACTTTTGGTGAAATAGGTTTGAAAGTAAATCATGTTCAAACAATAACTAGAGCGAGATATTTCCTTTGTACATATGCTGTAATGTGACAATTTCTGCCTCGTTATAAATGTGTGTTATAGGTGATCTTTATGCAGCCAGAAACTACATTTATTGTGGTCGAATAATATATTTTGACTGTAATAATTTCTCTTTTGAACATAAGGTTCATATTTCCATCTGTCTTCTCTGTATATCTGCTGGAATTTTCCACACACACTCATGCACCACATAAGGCCATTTTAATCAAGGAGGTACTACATATACAATGATGGTCTCATAAATGCTTGTTTGGGCAATGCGTGTACTAATATTGTACCGATACAGAGATCAGCATGGCCCCTGAACAAAAATGACATGCAAATTCGTGAAACAATGACGTTTCCATAAAATTATAATGGAGTTGCAATTCCTTTTATTTAATAATGTCTTGATGATCCTGACTGTGTTTTTGTGTCTTAGTTTTTAACAGAAAGGTGTAGCACATAGAGTTACGTACAGTACATAATACTTGATAGTAAATGGCTATGTTTACTGCTTGACACAGTATACTTTTTATCATCGTTGTAGAGTGTACTTATTCTGTGTATGAAGGAAAGTTAAATTAACTGTAAAAAAAATCAGGCAGATCTTTTAGAATGTGCTCTAGAAGAAAGCGTTGTTACCATACGAGATAGAAGTTCAATGTTACTGCCCCTGAAGACCTTCCAGTGGGACAAAACGTAGAGGTGGAAGGCAGACACTGTATTTGATGATTCTGACGATTCTACCTTGTATAAGCCTAGGCTACTATTTGGGTTTGTGTTTTATTTTTTAATGAAAAAGTTTAAAAAGTAAAAAAAAAATAAAAATAGAGAAAACATGTAGAATAGAATATAAAGAATGTATCCCCATGAAGGCCAGTATATAACATCTAGAAGTAAAAGGATTATTTTTTACCTGAGATAGCCTTTTCCTTTATTCTCTTCATTGACAAATGGCATTTTGTTGACTAAGTTTGAAATGGTAGAACACTAGTTGCATTCTTATCTTCTAACTCTCCCTCAACAAAAACAATTTATAAATAAACACATGTATAGTTACACACGTGTATATAAACATGTGTGTGTGTGTGTACTCACTTGTAGGAATTAGCTTACAGATGGCAAAGCAGAAATCTGTAGGGCAGCCTGGAAACTCCTGGGCAGGAGCTGATGCTGCAGTCTTGAGGCAGAATTTCTTTTTGCTCAGAGGTACCACAGTTTTGCTTTTAAGGTCTTTATGGTCTTTCAGTTGATTGCACCAATTATTGAGTTAATTTCCTTTACCTAAAGTTGACTGTAGACATTAACTGTGTCTGCGAAATACTTTCACAGCAAAATTAGTGTTCAATTCAAAACTGGGTATTATAGCTTGAGACAATTGATCCCTAAAAGTAACAATTACACGTCTATGATCATTTCTCAAAATTTTCTGTGTATATCAGTGCATATTTATTAACAACTGACTGAATTCTTAATAGTTGCAAATGTGTTTGCTGCTATGGATATTTGAAGAGCCATATATTCTGTCCTGAAGTCACGGTTCTAGAAATAGAAATTGACACTTAAATCAGGTATATTGCGATCATTGTCGTATGAGCTATAAGTACAAGGGGACTGGAGAGGGAATAGTGACAAAGCTCTAAGGGAGTTGGCACAAGAACTATTCCTATTTAAAGTATCTCTCAATCTCCAGTTTCCATCCATTGTCACTAGTTGGAAAACTGGAACACCTTCCTAAAGGATCTTTCCACCTGCACTCTCAGTCCTGACCTACTTCTGCCTTGCCACCAGAATTATTGTGCTCTTATATAAATGATCACGTCTCTCTGGGTTAAAATGCAGTGGCACCTCCCTGAACAGAGAATCCAAATTTCTTAGTATGGTGTAAAAATCCAGGGTTAAATGGCCAGAATTGATTATTATTTTTAGGTTCATTCAACACTTCCTCTTCCTTAAACATCCACTCTGTTCTCCAAACACAATAAACAGCTCAATATTCTCTGAACCTACATTTCTTGTCTTTTTACGTACAAGCATTTTCACACACTGTTCCCTTTGTCTAGCATGCCTCTTTTTCTGTTTTATCTAGAAAGAATTTATTTGTTTCTTCTAGAGTCAATCTAAACATCTCTGCATCTGAGATGATTTCTGCATTTCTAAGTACAGCTAATCGCTCCCTCCTTCCTACTTCCATTGTATGTTACTCAGACGTCGTTATAACTCATATTGTACTGAAATTGCCTTCCCCTCCTACCAAACCATGAGGTCCATATTATTAATTTTGTATCCTCTCCCTTATGCTGAGAATCAAGCCTGGCACATGTTAGATATTTAACATATGTTTGACAATTGCTTTTAATATATATTTTGATAATTGCTTTTATAGAAGTGCTTTAGTATTACTTCAAGGTAACTTAATACATGTTAAAAATTAAGCCTAATACTGATCAGCACCATTACTGCAAATTGGGTATTGTTTCTTAGTTATAAGATTAAGACTTCACAGAAATTATGAAGATTTGTGTCCAAGTCATGGTGTTGTCACTTACTATGTAATTTTTTAAAAAAAATAGTCTCACTTTGCTGCCCTTAATAGTAGGGTAGAGTACCCTGACATCATAACTCACAGCAACCTCAAACTCTTGGGCTGAAGCCCTTCTCTCATCTCAGGCTCCCAAGTAGCTGGGACCATAGGCATCCACCACAACATCCAGCTATTTTTAGAGATGGGGTCCTTGCTCTTGCTTAGGCTGGTCTCAAACCTGAGCTTAGGCAATCTACCCACCTCAGCCTCTCAGAGTGCTAGGATTACAGGAGTGAGCCACCATGCCTAGCTCTATGTAATCTTTTTTTTTTTTAAAATAAGCTTTTATTTTAAAATTTTCTCTGACTTTATTAAGGTGAAATTGACCAATAAAAATCATGTATGTTTGCTGTGCAAAATATGGTATTTCAACATATGTATACATTGCAGAATAGTGAAATCAAGCTAATTTCTTACTATATAATCAAGCTTGTTTATATTCTTGCTGAATTTGGTTTCCTCAAATATTATCTACTCCATACCATTAAGGGAATAAAATTCAATAATCTGAAAGTTTGGTCAATGAAGGCACTATACAAACATAACTGCTGCTCACAAACCTTCTTCCTGCCCAGTGATCTTATAGGCCCTGTGTCAGTGGAAGATGAGTCATTCCATTATCAGATCATGGCTTTTTCTTTTCTTTCTTTTTTTTTAATTAAGATAAAGGTCCATATAATTAGGGTACATTGTGTTTGTAAGATGAAGTGCCAGTTGTAGTTGAGTTCTTCACTCAGGAGAAGTGGTCCATAGCCCTACACCGTACCCTGTAGAACTTTCTTTTCTCTTCTTTTTGTCTTCGTTTAAGAAATACACTCCGAGAGACTTAGGAAAACTTGTATATTCCTCTTTGCATTTGCTGAATCAAGACCAAAGGCAATAACATCCTGATGATTTCCTATTAGGCATCTTATCATACGGTTATTTATCATCTTTTTTCTTTTTCCTGTATATGTGAAGGCTTAAATGACAATAAAAATTGCATTAGGAACAAACACGGAGTTTTCTTCCTTAAGTGCACATAAAATATGTGCCTTAAAACATTTAATGAGCTTCTATCTAATATTATAATATACAAAAGAATAGAAAATAGGGCACCTAATTACAAAAAGCTTATAGAGAATTGATGCATTGAAACATTCTAATTGAGCACAACAGTGCAATCTATCAAGAAATGTCAAAAGCAGATATGGACTTTATTTTATGAGTTAGATATGTTTATATAGAAAACTTTATAAAGAAAATTGACATTCATGACATTTGAAGTGTCTTCACACAGGAAAAAGATATTATTAATGTTAGCCTATTATAATTTTAAAGGTAAGTAATATAACTGTGATTCTCAAAACAAATTATATCTACAGCAATAAAACAACCCTGCCAGAAATTCTAGTTCCTTGCTGAAAGTTTTACAGAAAATATTTCTGCTATTTTTTGCCTCATCTCCTAAACTCAACCTATGCTTTTATTAGTCTTGAGAAAAAAATGAGATAATTTAATTCAGGTGTGTATTTCTGAAGTTATTATGAAATCAAACCAAATCTTACTGTACCAGGTAAAGCTGTTTGTCTTGTTCAAACAGGGCATATCTAAAATGATTATTTTAAATGAGTCATTGGAATTTGCCCTTGGATCTCACTCTTTGTGAACTGGAAGAACACTAAACAGTAGTTCATTTTAAGGATGTCTCTCGTGATTTTACTACACATGTACTTCTTGGATCACCAGGAAATGCCAATATGCACTTTTATAAACAAGCTTCTGGATTTTCCTACTTAAAGGCTCTGTCCAGTGTAAGTGCTTTGTTTTGTCCTCAATTTAATTCACTATAACGCAGCTCTAAAGACTAGGTGCTTTGGAGCCAGCCATTCTGGCCCCGAGTCATTTTCTAAAGCCAAGAAAAGGGGTGAACTTTTTCTTCTAAGTTGATATCCTCACAGAATTGTCATGTAAATCAGGTGGCCAGTATGTGCAAAACACTTTGCATGGGGTCAGGCACCTAGTGGCACAAATAGGGCTATGAGTTGTCTCCCTTGAATTATAAATCTATTGGAAAATCTTAATGGTTTGCTCTGTCTCAAAACTAAATGGAGATAACCCAGGACAGAGTATTTCTGGATGAATATTTAATTCTATGTTCTCAGTTTTATAAACTTCTGCCTCTGGCTTCAAATGAAATAAAAATAACCTGAAATCTGATGTCAAAATAGATGATTTGTAGTCACTGGCTCATCACAGAATGTTAGAGCTGAAAGAGTCTGTACATATGACCCCGGACAATCTTCTCTCATTGAAAATAAGGCATCTGAGTCTTCAAGAGATGACATAACTTGTCCATGGTTGTGTGGCAGGAGAGTAGCAAAGTAGGCAGAGGCACTTTGACTCACACAACTTTTTTCCTCCTTAGCTCATTTCTGTAGCAGATTTGTCTAATAATTAGGGGAAACTATTGTTCAAATGGGTTTAAAAATTTGTAACATTAGACATATTAAAGACTTATGTGGGTGAATAACGTAAGAACTGAGACTGAGTACCGCTAATTAATTTTCGTTCTTTATTTTCTAATAAAATGGAGGTATTGGGTGAGTTTATTTGTGACGAGATGACTTCAATTAATTTATATGGTACCCAATTTAAGCACTCCCACTCTGCTCTCTGAGGACTTAGTACCAGGAGCAAAAGCTGGCATTAACATCAGAGCAGATGTGCAGTCTCTTCCTCCTCTCTAGCTTGGCTCGAGCTGTTGGTATAATCACTAGTCTGTGCTAACACTGAGTTTT